GTTATTTTTTTTAGTGACAAATTTTCTTTACCAGTGTTCATTGAAATAATGTCGAATGAATTATATCACAAATATTAAAATTATTTTTGCAATAATTATTGTCACTAATAAATTAGTTATTGTCACAACAAAATTTGTTAATTAATAAAAAAAATCATTAGTGATTATAAAAAGTAAATTATCACAAAAAATTGCATTTGTAATTACAAAATAATAGTCACTAAAAAGTTATTTCAAAATAAAATATAATTATAATGACATAAAAATGCGGTCATCACATCTGTTTTAAAAATTAAAAAAAATGATAACAATAATGATAAATAAAATACCAAAATATATATCACATTTTTAATTTTTTAAATCCAAAGTAATATCCAAAATACAATTATCAATAAAACAGTACTAGTATTTTTCTACTAAAACACTAAATAATTATTAAAAAAAAAATTTAGTCTACAAATATGATAATGTCCATGTGAAAATCTAAGCTAGAAGTCCATAGCTGATCCCAATAAAGTTTATTCTTCATTATTTTCCTACAAAACAAATAAAAATAAGAAAAAAAATAAATCAATGAACAGTAAAAAATTACCTTATATAATTGTTATTATAATATTAATAAGTGACATTAATTATTTGATTATTGTACTTACATTATTACTTGGAGAATTTGATGTAAATGCATTGGATATCATACTAAAAATTAGTCCTTCACCCGCCAAATGTGCAAATATGTCTTTCACTTGTTTCAATTCCATAGTTTATTTCTCAATAGCTTTACCTTGAGCCATAAGTTTTTGACATTGAACTTCCATATTTTTTTTTAAGTTCGATGTTGGCCTCTTTTTGTTTTTTTTTTGTTTTTGTGATCTTAGTAAGCCTTTCAACTTCTTTCTTTGCATGTTTCTTTACAGCCTTAGCCAGAGATTTAAATTGCGGTAACGTTCACATTTTCGATCGCATCATTTGTCACGGTTGCGGATATAACGGAGATCTTCACGGTCATTGTGACTATTACGGTCGTGAATTTTTTTAAATTTTGCTGAACTTGCTATAAAATATAATAATTTTAATTATTAATCATAAAACCTCTTATTTTATGATTTTTAAAGTAATTTATATCATATCATGTGTTTTATTTATTTAAGAAAAAATATTTATAGTAAAATATTCATATTTAAAAAATTATTTATATGATAATTAAAAAATAAAAAGAGATAAATAAATATGTGAAAAATAAATAATCATAATGAATAATATATTTAATTATTTAATTATCGTACTCATCAAATTATTATCGAACTATATTATGCATAAATCAAATAATAAATTATTAGGTATTCATAAATTAAGTAAGAGCATTATTATTTATGAGTCAAAAGAATTGTTTTTTATGAACTTACAGTAAATCAAACTTGACAGCCTCCATGTTATGGGTGATTTTCAACAATAATAACCTCAAGTCTACTTCCCTTGTCTCTTGACTAAATTGCACAGACCCACACAACTTCTCATCCCTTCACCTTGCATTCAATAATTTTTTTTCTCCAAACCTTTCCTTATCCTCATCCCCATCTCTCAGTTCTCTTTTATTTAGTGTGTGCTATCTGCTTGCTTCTGTAAACCTCAAGTTTCACTCTCATCTCTTGTCTCTTATTTTAAGTCTCAGCAACTCTTGCTTCCTTTTATTAATGTAACATAGCCTAATCTAATCCCAAACACACAAAATCATGGTAAATTTGAAAATTAAAAAAAAAAGATAATTTGAGTGTTGAATTAATTGTTTACTTTAAATTGCATAAACTTGATTTTGATTGAAGTTGAACTTGAGAGAATTGATTTTTTTGAAAGTTTAAGTTTTGTGGGTTTTTTTTTTTTTTTGAATTTGTAAATTGATGTTTATTTTCTTTCTTGTTGTTTTTATTTTAAATTTTTAAACAAAATCAAATGATTTTTTTTTTGAATTTTTGAATGAAAATAGGAATAGCGGCAATAGCGAACAATAGCGGACCGCTATTGCCGCTATTCACCGTTATATCACAATTCACGGCCGCAATTCATCCGCTATAGACGAGATTCAAATTCTCTTCTATTTTTTTTCCAATAGTGATGGCGGATAGTGGCGCGACTGCAAAATAGCGGCCGCGACACCGCTATCCGACCGCTATTTGAATCCTTGGCCTCAGCTTATGCAATAATGTGACTTTTTTTCTTGAAAGGTAGATGTGATCCCTCCAACACCTACACCATATGAGTAATTTGACTTTATTCTTAAAATAAGAGCAAAATGCTCCACTAGTGGCATCAGTGCAGATGAAATCTTCTCTTGATTTTTCTCACCCTCTTTTTGAAAAAACAAACTTCTTCACAGATGACAGTCTCTTCTTCACAGATGACAGTTTTCCAAAATCACTCGCCTCTTCTTCACAGATGACAGTCTGTTGTTCATCAAAACAAACTAGACAGAATTGGAAAAGGTGAAACACTTGTTAAAGTTATATGAAGAAGGTTTAGGGTAGAAAATCAACTATGAGAAATCGAGATTGTTTTTCAGCAGGAATACTGATACAGAAAAGCAAGAGATGGTCAAGAACATGTTCGGTCACAACCAATCCAGAAAAGTATCTTGGATTGCCAATGATAATTGGGAGGGAAAAGAAGAAAGCTTTCAAGGGAATAATAGGAAAAACGAAACAAAAGGTACACAGCTGGAGTCAGAAATGGATATGTGGTGGGGGAAAAGAAATCTTCATTAAAGCAGTACTACGATCGGTGTCTTCATTTGCAATGTCATGTTTCAAGTTCCCAAAAGAGTTGTGCTATGAACTGAATACGGTGATGAGTAATTACTGGTGGAGGAGGGGAAGTGCAAAGAATGGAACTCATTGGTTAGCGTGGGGAAAGATGTGCAATGGAAAGAGGAATGGAGGCTTGGGGTTTAGGGCTAAGGAAACTTTCGGCGCTATTAGCTAAACAGGGATGGCGCCTAATGGTTAACAACACATCCCTGGTTTATAAGGTGATGAAGGAGAAGTATTTCCCAATTCAACTTTTCTTGAAGCTAGTGTGGGGACAACACCATCCTACATCTGGAGAAGCATTTATATGGGTTGAGAATTACTGCAACGAGGGTTAAGATGGAGGGTGAGAGATGGAACCAACTTCAGGGTGTGGGATGATCCTTGGATACCCAAGAATGGCAGTTTTGGTCCCCGTCCACATGCATCTGGATATGCAAGGGACATGAAGGTAAGTGACCTTATAAACTCTTACACAAAGGAATGGGACTACTTTAAACTGGCACTTTTCACGAGTGATACTGTTGAAAACATCCAGGCCATCCCACTAAGTAACATCCGGACCCATGATATTTTAGTGTGGCATTATAGCAAGGATGGAAGATATTCTGTTAGAAGCGAATATTGGTTACAAATGGTAAAAAAGCAAGAGGTAATCAGTGGAAACGCAACGAGGCCTGGGACAGAATATGGGGGACAAACATTCCAAATAAGATTAAAACTTTGATGGAGCACTTAACGTCAGGGATAGGATAGGAGGGATAGGTGTAGTGGCCAGAGACCACGATGGACAGGTACTGGGTGCCATGCACGAGCAGGTTCGACGATATAAGGACCCTGTTACGATTGAGACCAGGGCAGCGGTGGAGGCATTGATTTTTGCAGCAGAAATGGGATTCCAAAGAACTCAAATCAAGGGCGACGCCCTGGGGGTTATACAACAAATCGTATAGAAGGATGATGATTTATCTTTAGCTGGGAATCTAATAAATGAAGCTAAGTTTAGGCTGAAAACCTCCTTATCTTAGGAATATATGCACACTAAGCGGGAAGCAAACAAGGTAGCACATTTGCTTGCCAAAGAGGCTTGGATTTATATTAGGGGAGATGAAATCTTTAGTTCTGAATTGAAGCAATTTTTTATTATTATTTTTTATATCGGATGATAATTTGATTCTTGAGAGTGTTTTGAAAAATGGAAGCTTCGTGTGCATTGGTAAGAGTGGTGGCTTTCAAATTCAAGGACAGAAGGTAAATGTTGATTCATTTTTCAATGTGTTAAATTTTGACAATATATTCAATTAATATTTTCTTGTATTTCATTAAGAAGATTCTATTTTGGTTTTATGGAATTTGAACGAGTAAGTTCTGTGCAAAGTGTCATAGAAGTATTTATGGGTTTTTTTTTTTTTTTCCTATGTTGACCTTTTTATTAGATTAGTAGGACCAAATTTATAGTTTTGAAAAATACATCTATCCTTTGAATTTCATGCAGTTTTCTAATATGAATACAAATTTTCTATTTTACAGATTTTTATTTAAAAAATTTGAAGTTGGTAACTTTTTTTAACCTTAAAATCAAAATCATTTGTCTATAAATTTTCCGCATGCATCTTCCTATGGTTTACATTAACCAATTACAGCTACAATTGTATATACTGTTTTTATCTGAACTCTTACTTTTATAAGCTTGTAATGTACATTTCAAGATTTTTCTTGTATTTTATTACAATTCAGGAGAGCTGACATTTGGTTAACTGCACTTAGAAGGTTTTATATTTACATGACCTGGAGTGCCAAGCCGCAGACTAGTTTTTATTATTATTAATCTTTTTAGAAAAATAACATTGAAATGAAACCGTGTTTAGAATAACGCATTTCAAAATATATATATAAAACTATAAAATTTGTTATTTATTTTATTTTATATATTATATTAATAAAATTATTATTTAACATTTAATTTAAAAAATTAATATTTTCAACTCAGCGAAAATATCCCCCTAACATACCTTATAAGCTCTTTTTTTTTTAATTTTTAATTTTTTTCACTTTTATTTTTATTCTTTTAATCAAATAAATTTTGTGAGAAAAAAATCAATTAAAATATTTACATATCACCCTTATTTAATTTTTTTTTACCTTTCACTATTTTAATGAAATTAATTTTATAATACAAAACCGATAAATAAAAAAGGATAAAGTAAAAAAATTTTGACCGGCGGGCGGATATTGTGCTAGTAAACTCTTAACCTGGTATAATTTTGACCTGATTTTGATCTCTAAACCTATTTTACTATAAAACTATCATTTTCCCTAAAGAAACTAGAGAATCATCCTTCACATTTGCCTATACCAACAGTTCGACGTTACTTACAGCAATCCAAAGAAGTACCGTCGAGTCTCCCCCACTCTCTTAGGTTGAAACTCCGTGTTGACCAAACCATTTTCATACTCTTTCTTGGCTGATTCAAGCTCTTCCTCCAAAAATGACTTTCTTGTTGACAGCATTGCGTCATAATCAAAATCCTCTTTCCCCTCCAAAAAAGCAGCAGCATCTCCACTTTTGTTGCTTTCATCGTTTATCATTGTCATCTGGTCTCTTTTCCACTCTCATTGCATTCATGTCTCTTGGACCATCATGTGAGGCTGGATTGGGTAATTCCAGTTCTTCTTTAACAACTTCAAGTTTTAAGGTCTTGAGGACCTTGTGCTCCATTGTTGCAATGCTACTACACCCAGATGCTTCTACCATAGCCATGCATGTCGAGGGATTCATGCTAGGACTGATATCTGGAGATAGGTAAGATAGTATGTCAGGCCTCCCGTTTATATTAACCCATCTGTCATCAACCCAATCTTTGGAAGTTCTGGTATTCTCCCTCTGGACAGTCAGAAACTTGTTTTCACCTATTCAAAGAGAATCACCATAATCAACTAATGAGCATAAAATGAATGCTACATGGTTAGGAGCATAGTAAAGCACATATGCGCATTTAATTTCATTTTTTTAAAATAATCTTTTAAAGGAAAAATGCAAAATGTCTTGCCATGAAGCATACCAGGGAGGTAAACTTGCAGGTCATCATCACCAGAGATGCCAACACCAGTTGTGACACCTTCCCACCATCCATCACTCCACCACACATCAATTGGTGCTCCAATCTCAAATTTACGATCAGTAGTAGTATTATCCTTGGGAGGACAAGGCCGGATTGTCAGGCGGCCTGGACATCTCATACCCAGTTTGTCAGGTGTTGCAACTCTGGAGTTAGGGACCCATTCCTACATGAAAAAACAACTATAAAAATACAGACATTTTTTCTTTTACAACAGTTCCTAGATAAGTGGGGTAAGAAAAGACAAAAACTTCAACAAAAGTATGGCATTCTCGTATTCTCAATTTTCTTTTCACTTCTTGCCATATACATACAGTTTCTCCCACATTTACGATAATGTTTAAAAGGAAACTGTATATATTCCATAAATATGAGAAATGTATTTTTTTGAAAAAACTCGAGATCACCATATCCATATAATTGACATTATTATCTGTTTCCCCTGGGGAATTTGCTTACCTGTAGATTACCAGACCCATCAACATCCTGCACATCATCATACTGAACTTTCAAATGCGTCTGAGATGCTTTCAAGACCTTGCACCTAAACCAACAGCCTCGAATGCCACTATCTTGACAAAGCAGCTCTATTTTCTCATCCGCATTGAAAGACAGCGGAGATTGGAGTTGTGACGCAATACCCATTGTTTTCCTTGAAAACCTTAATTTTAACTTTGGATATGATGGTTGACAATTCATAATCTGATTCCCATTGACTGGTACTGTATTTCTACCACCAGAACCACTTTCAAGTCCATCTTGCTCCTTATAACTTTTATTTCTCTTACCAGTTACCCTCACAGGGTCATTAAAAGTCAATGCTCCCTCATCTTCCTCATGAGACTTATGGTTCTTGCCTTTTTGCTTAGGGACAAGTGGTCCATCTAAAGAAGAGAGAATTGCTTGATTAGAGTATCCCCGTAATTTGGTAAGAGTGAAGGGCTTCACCTTGTTATTTTTAAAATGTCTAAAGCACATATAGACAGCCAATTGTGAAGTCTGAGGAACAATGGCCAGACATTTCTCATAATGCCTAGGAGTCAGGACGGTTGCAAGACCATCAACACACTCTGCACTAATAACTTGAACATGAGGTGTGATGAAGACTTCTCTGGGATGATGATTCAGCTGACAAATTACACCTTTGACTTCTCGGTTGTGGTGAAACCACCGCACTTTCACCTTCTTTTGCCCCTTCTTATCCTCATACATATCTTCCAGGTATCCAAGGTAGTGACTTTCTTCAGCCATTATAAACACAAAAGAGTGAACCTGGAAAAAAAACAAGGGGATAGGAGGAGAACAAATCTGGAATATTTGAAAGAGCTTTAAAGATAGAATTCAGGTCAATAACCCATAACAAGTTTCCACTACATGTAGAGATAACTATCAGTATGTTGGTACTTACAGTTATGATGGTCCCATTCCTGCAAAAAGATGGGTAGTGTTTCAGCTGTTTAGCACAGATCCAAGCAATGCCATACCACACAATATCGGAATTTTGTGCTTTCAGTTTCCTAAGAACCTGGATTTACAATAAAACTTCAATCCTAGACATAAAGAAGCACAGAAAATCTAGAAAATAGCCTAAACGCTAAAGGGAAATGCATACCATCTGATGTGGTAAACAGGTTTGACAACCAATAGGGCCAGTCGTTGATACTTCAACAGGTCCAAAACCTCTTATAGAATCATCCATCTGAAAATCTGCTGTAAAAAGTATTAGAATTTCTCAAAAGATTTCACATTAGTCGCAGCAAGTATCATTTAGAACTAATATCATTAAGCTTTTCATCTATGACTAAGAATTCAACAGAAACATCGGCAATAAGAAAAACAAAGGTGATAAGGAGATCATATGCTGTATGCAAACCAAATTTCAAATTTCCAATAATTGTGGTTTTTCAGTTTTAGACATACATAGACTGCTTTTTCAACAGTCCTAGAAAGTGGCAACATTAACACAAATATATTTGTATCTCACGCAACCTGTGAGATTCTACTTATTCATCTTGGTATTAACCTGATTAAGATCAACCCTCTTTTGTTGCATAAAGCAAAGAGAATGGAGCTTCTTGACATATGACAGAGAGAAACAGCTAACACTACGGAAAGCTCAAAATTCTTGCACAGATATACAACTTATAATGAGTAATTAAGAACATGAACATCCATCCACTGTTAGAAATAGTATGTATAGTGCAAAGCTTAATTTCTGGCATATCATTAAGATCTGTATCAATGTATCCAAAAAGCATGGAGAATGTTGTCTACCCTTATATTACTTTTGAATGAATGGCTCAGACAAGGCTTGTGCATCTACACATGAGCCAACCAGCAAGCAAGAGGACATTGCAAATGTATATATTAACTAGAGTCAATCAAACATACATCTTTTGATTGTATGTAGAATATGAAGAACTATATATGAACTACAAATTCATTAAGTCCTTAACAGGAAATAGCAACTACAAGAATGATCATGCTGAAACAGCCCAAAAGATTGCACCCATGCAGCTAGAGAAACTTACCCAATACTCCTCCTCTAAGTTCAAAGAAAAAATGATTAAACCTCTAAAAGTACTTGGCATTAATATGTCCAATTTTAAATTCTAAGAAAACTTTGACGTTGGTAGCACTGCAGAATCTACCATATTCTTACATACTTTATTCCAAGTGCTGGTCTTTTCCATAGGAAGAATATAAATATCTAAACGTAGCCCCAATACAACAAGGCATAGCATGGTGGTAGCCACACCTTTCCTCCAAAGGCAAACCAAATTCGAAACTTCAATACCTCACAATTTTAGGTACTAGAGCAACAAAAAATCAAATAATCCAAAAAAGTTATCCATCCATAGCTGACAATCATAGTATTTCAGGCTCTCAAATTTGTTTCTATTCCATAAGGAAATTGTCTCAGCAATACTTCGAGTTTTTCATTGCACAAGTTCAAATTACAGAATTAAAGAACTGCTACTGCTACTTTCCCTCTTAGACAAAAACTTGAAAAGAAAGATCCATCAATTCTGGATGAAGGGGGTAAATAAAGTACCTGCCGGGGGACGATTCATTGATACCAGCGACTGCAACCATTCAACAACTTCCCGTCTTGCTCGCCATTTAGTATTAGCATTGATGAACCCATGGATGCCATACGCCTGCACGAACTCACCAGAAACAACATACATCATATGCCTTATGCTCCTCTCCGTACCAACAACTGCTAGAACTAAAATCCCAGATGCTTCCTTCAAGTAAAAGTGAACTACACGGTTACCACGCTCTTGGCATATAATGTGTTCCTCCCAACCCACAAAATTATAATCATTCTCAGACATTTTGATTTCAGGGTACCTCAAAGGAGTCAACTTGACCCCTTTTCTCACATTAGCTAAAACTGCAAAGTTTAAAGCTTTTGATGAGTGAATAGCCCACTTTAGACCCAGCTGTGTAAAGACTGAAAAGTAACCGAACGCCTAAGACCCCCGTAAAACGATGGAATTGGACAATGCTCAGTTGTTAGAACCTACAGATGGATCATGTCCTTTATCAGGGAAAAGAAACAGGGTGTCAAGTAAAGAAACCGCACAAAACAAGGTAGAGAGAGAGAGAGAGAGAGAGAAAGTGTTGGGATTTTAGAGCCGAAATCCAAGCCAAGAAACAAAGTAGGTAGGGTAAGCCTTCCAGCTTTAGCTTGTAGCAAAGAGTTGAGAGGGTTAAAAAGGAGGGAGCTCAGATGGCATTAACAAGAAAGGAAACAAGAGTTAGTCAGCGCAAAACCACGCCAAAATCACCTTACCCCAAAAACGGAAAATAATTGGAAAAAGGAGGGATTCCAAATTATTGAAAGTTGAAAAGACTTTGAAGCACAGATAGAGGCAAAAACAAAGAAAGAAGATAAAAAAAAAGAGCAGGTTTTTGGTTATGGTTAACCTTTGGGTTTCATTGAATGAAGGCTATGCCTCTGGAGGGAAGAAAGATTACAGGCAGAGACGGAGACGAAGAGAGAGAGAGAGAGACTGCAGGGGCATTGGGCAGGTCATGAAATCTTGGACTCTGGAGGGGAAGAAAAAGCAGAGGGGCATAAAAGAAATTGAATTTTATGTGTTAAGGCTATTCTTGTATCTTATGTGACGGAGTCATAGGATCTCCAGGACTGCGATTGAAGCACGTCTCAATTCCAAATTTCTACGGCCGAGCCTTGACCGTGAGGCTGACGCAGGTAAGTCCATTTCAACCTCAGCTTGCAGAGCTGTGTTATTTGGGTTGACAATAATATTAGCTCAATAATGGTTCTAATACCATTCACAGTGATTAGAAAAAAAAACAAAAAAGGAAGCATAAATACATCAAACTTCAAAAATCATTTGTTTCTAGTTGTAGTCAAATATACCATCATCCTTCCAGTTACCATTTCTGGCATTTGTCTTAGATTAATACTAGGAGTAGGTTTTTTTGTTTGAAATTTTCGGTGTTCGATAATTTTTTTAAAATTTGATTAATTTAAAATTGAATCGGATCAAATTTTATAAAAAAAATAAATTATTTTAAAATTTATTTTTTTATTTATAAAATTTAAAATTAAATTTTTACTTAAAAAATTAAATTTTTTACTACTTGAGTCAACATATGTTGATAATATTAATAGCAGTTACGTATATAATATTGGGAATAAAAGAATCCTTTGTGGTGAATGTTAGTCCACTGAACGTTAGTTTAGTCACTAACAATATGTTGATGGTCCAAAAATATACATGGGTTTCACTTGGAAAGAAAAAAAATGCTGCTTTCTGTCAATGGAATTAATTGCCTCAACACTTGGCACTACAAAGTACTTTCAATGAAAGATGGAAATTCAAATTATGAAATCTTTTACCACTTGAGCAAGTGCTGTGGTGTCTTTCGTTGCGACACGTAGCTCAACCGTACTTGATATTCTGAACCTTACTGTTTTTTTTTTAACCTGCCCTTCTACCCATCCTTGCCTATCCATCTGTTTTCATTAATTTTTTGACACTGTTTTAACAACCGTGCCATGCATAAAGTGCGCGTCTGGATATTGCTTCAAGATGATTGAGTTGTGATATAAATAAATGGGCGCATAAAAGAAGCTGCCGCAACCACAATCCTCAACTTACAATGACTAAAAAGACAAAGGGCCATGTGGCTAATGATGTCAGTTGTTACCCGTCCGTACGGCGCTGGATGATATGTACGCATTCTCTTTGGGGTCATTTTTTAGTTTTTTTTGTAATTGGATTTTTTAATTTATTTATAAAATGTGACTTGCGAGGATATTTTAAAAAAATTTTTAGTGTTAAAAAGGAAAAAAAAGTGAGAAAATAATTTTTTTTTCTTCTTGAGATTTTTAAGATTGTAGAAAGAAAGTAAAAATTTTATCTCATTTACTTTTACTTAATTATAATTTTATATTATATTATCCTTCCAATATTTTAAAATTATAAAACAAATATAATTTTTGTTATTTATAATTTCAACAAATATTGTATTTTTAAGATAAAAAAAGTAATGAATGTTGAAACTAAAATTTCAAAATTTTAAAATTTAATAAAGATCATGTTTTTAAAATAAAAAAAGTAGTGGATGCTAAAGTTTTATTTTCAAAATTTTGAAATTTTAACAAATATTACATTTTAAAAACAAAAAATAAAGTGGATGTTAAAATTATATTTTTAAAATTCTAAAATTTTAGCAAAAACAGTATTTTTAATATAAAAGCATAATGAATGTTGAAATTATATTTTTTAAATTCTAAAATTTTAACAAAGAACATGTTTTTAAGATTAAAAACATAGTGAATGTAAAAATTATATTTTCAAAATTTTAAAATTTTAATAAAAATCATACTTTTAAGATAAAAAACACAATAGATGCTTAAAAAAGACAATGTTTTTAAGATAAAAAATATAGTATATATATTTTGAAATTCTAAAATTTTAATAATGATTATATTTTTAAGATAAAAATGTAATAGATGTTGAAAAAGGTCTCGCTTTTAAGATATAATATAGTGTATGTTGAAATTATATTGTCGAAATTATGAAAATTTAATAAAAACCACGTTTTTAATATAAAAAAACGTAGAGGTTATTGAAACTTTAGTTTTGAAATTATGAAATTTTGACAAAAAAAATCATGTTTTTAAGATAAAAAACATAGTGAATGTTAAAACTTTATTTTCAAAATTTTAAAATTTTAACAAATACTACATTTTTAAGATAAAAAACACAATTCTTATTACTACTCATAACAAAATTACAATAACATGTAAAATACATTTACTTAATATTATTATTATATATAAAATTTATTCTTGGGCTTCACTTATAAAACTCTTAGAAAGATAATTTATCACTCTCTTCTAAACCCTATGTTGATCATACTGCGAAGATTGATCCATGTATTTTCTTTGTATATGGATAATTAACATAAATATAGTAATTAGGATTATAATATTATTTTGTTGAAAATATTTAAAAAATATATATTTTTTAAAATTCTTTAATTTCAATGAAAATAATGCATTATGAATGTAACATGTTATTCACGTATCATCAAGGATAATATAATAAAAAGATTTTATTAGGTAATTTTACATTTTTCTAAACCAAATACAAAAATCTTAAATTTAGGAATCACACATTGCCTTTCAATATTATTTTTCTCTTAAATCACTTTCTCTCTCAAAATATTAAAATCCATGAATCAACTGCTCTTTAAAAATCTCTTAAGGTGACATTTAGTTAAGGGGAAAGTAATTTTTTTATAATTTGATTCTTTAGTTTGATTCACGAGAATGTGATTGTTGGAGTTTTTTAATATTCCCAACATTGTCAAGAAGTGATAAAGTAAAAGGAATCCAAAATTTTTCTCTCCTTAAGATTTTAAAGATTTTGGAGAGAAAGTGATATTTTTTTCCCTTTTGCCCTCACTTAATTGTATTTTTAGGTTATATAAATAATGTTATTTATTTTAGAAATGTAGTAATTTTTTATAAAATGTTATGGAAATATTTTTTTGAATATAATTTAAATAAATATCATATTTTTAACATAGTACTATTGAAATCATCACAAAAATTATGATTAAAAATACGATTTTTATTGAAAAGATGAAAAAAATGATTTTTCATAATTTAACAAAGATGATGATTTTAAAATAAAAAACATTGTTTTTGTTAAAAACATAAAAAAATTATTTTTTAGAATTTAATAAAGATGACATTTTTTAGATAAAAACATAGTTTTTGTTGAAAAAACATCAATTTTAAGATAAAAATTTGTAAACATGAAAAAAAATTTTCAAAATTAAAAAAGAGGACATTTTTAAAATAGAAAATACAGTCTTTATTAAAAAGATGATATTTCTAAGATAAAAACATAATTTTTGTTGAAAATATGAAAGAATATATATTTCAAAATTTAATAAAAATAATGTTTCTAAGATAACAAATACTGTTTTTGTTGAAAACATAAAAAAAAATATAGTTTTTAGAATTTAATAAAAACAATATTTCTAAGATAAAAATGTAATGTTTGTTGAAAATATGAAAAAAAATATTTTTTAAAATTCAATAAAAACGACGTTTCTAAGATCAAAATATAATCTTTATTGAAAAGATAACATTTCTAAAATAAAAACATAATCTTTGTTAAAAGCATGAAAAATATATTTTTTAAAATTTAATAAAGACAATATTTTAAGACAAAAATGTAACTTTTATTGAAAATACGACTTTTCTAAGATAATAATGTTAGTATAATAATTAGAATTGTAAAATTATATTTATTGAAAATATAAAAAATTATTTTTTAAAATTTCAATGTTTTAAGAAAAAAATATGTTATTTACGTGTTACGTGTTATTCAAATATTAATGTTATGAATGTCACGTATTATTAAAGATAATATAATAAAAAAATTTATTAAGTAATCTTACGTTATCATGAATCAAATACAAAAATTTTATATCCCAAAGTAAACAAAACTAAAAAAACACATTTTTTTCAACATCAATTTTTTTCTCAAATTTAAAAATATGTGAACCAAACGGGCCCTAAAAATATTTATGCATAATTCTGGCATCGAATTAGTTTCCACTAGATTTGTCTCTCTTCTTAGCCGCATTAATAATATATAGAGGATATGGTGTGAATGAAAGGAAAATTATAGTTCACACCTTACAGCAACCACACACTTGAGCATTGTGGATTGTAGATGCAATCCCATTAAGTCTTGCCAAAAAGGTCCAAGCTCAGTAAGTCTCGCGGAAAATGAATATCTCTGAGCTCAGACTCCAAATTTATCCCCCAGCCCCGAGGCACACCAATCTCATCCCAAATTCTCCGCTATTTTTCACTCCCTTCAAGCAGCTATTACATGTATCACATTCAAAAGTTACAACCGTCGTCTCAAGAAAAATTCTGGGATGTCCTCCTAAAACCAGGGTGATAGAGAGACAAATGATCCTGCAACGCTCCCAGGAGAGGGAACAAACCCCCAAAAGAGAGCTTACTCAAGTTTCTTCAAGCGGTTATTCACGGTTTGTAATAGTAGGAGCTGTTTCTGTGGGTTTGGCGTTGCTACTTATTGGAGTGGATGTCGAAAAGGCTGCGGCCTTGGGTCCTGAAGGGCCATTAATGGAGGAGTTTTGGGACAATGTGAGGAGATACGCACTTTATGCTCTCACAGTCAGCACAGGGGCTATATACACCATCTTCCAGCCGATACTGGAGTTGTTGAAGAACCCAATCTCTGCAATTCTTATCTTGGTGATTATAGGAGGCAGTATCTACATAGTTTCCCAAATACTTTCAGCCATGGTTGGGGTCTCCGATTTTACTTACAGTTACGGATATTAATTTTACAGTTTTCAGCTTATGATGTTGGTTTCTCTTGGATCTTGACGTTGCAAAGTTTTCCTTTTGTTCTTGTTCCATTAGCGGAACTTTATTTTATCCTTTCAAGATCGTCTTATCTTTCAAGGCTGATTATTTATTTATTTGTTTATTTTTAAATTTTCTGAAGAATGAATATCTTTTTAGGTTGAATTAATCCCATTGTACTATTGCAATATTTCTTTTATCAGGATGAATTCTATATGTTCCTTAATCCTTACTAGTGGAGTATTTGCAAGTGACAAATATTCTTGCTTGCTGGCAATAGTTTGGGTGGATATGCCGGGTCCGAGTTAGGATGGGCCTCGGCCTGTGCAGTTTAAAATTTTGCATGTATCTTTATACTTTATAGCCCAATTAAATTTTCCTCTTCAGGCCTTAAACGGTTCAGCGAGCCTGGAAAAAAGGCCCAATGACTAAGTTAAACAATTCAGAGAAAAGTTCTCTTTATTGCTGTATACATATTACTATTTGAATAAAGTCGCATAACGTCAAATTATAATTAAAAAGCACCCATGGATAAACAGAAACCAGATCAATTAAAACTCGGAAGCAAGCGATAACATGCACCCTTAATTAGAAGCTCTTGATGGTTTACAAAATGTTGTGGCTAAACTCTCAAGCACCATCAGCCTTGGTATGTGTGCGCGTGCCCGAGCCCAAGTCATGATCAGGCAGTTGTCTTGTGGCTGAGTCAGCAGCAGGCAACAGAAGAGACCGAGAGAGGGTAGCTAAAGCTATTGGCATATTCGGAGGAGAGGCATTCTCCAGGGCCAAGAGGCTTCCCATCATTTAGCAGGCAATCATCATAGTAGAGTAGCCTGAATACTGTGGGATTGATCAACCTGACAGAACTAAACCATCCACAACTAACGTGAATGTTGGAGATGCGACAACCCGAGACGCAGAAGTTCAGAATTTGAACAGTGTATGATGGAATTCCATTGGGAAGGGATGCCGTTGAGCCTTGGAATATCACAATGTCATCCTTTGAGCATTCCGTGCCAATTCGATTAGCATCACGGTCCTCTACGTGCATTGAACATTTCCAAAAATTAAGAATCAGCTTTCAAATTGGAATCACTATTCAAGAAATAAATAAATAATTACCGACGGAAGAGAAATTAAATAAAAACAACATGGAATATTCGAAACTGGAAAGGATGAACAATTTTTTAGCATACAAATTCCTTATAATCTAGTAATTAATTACTCTACTTTAATATATATTATTCACATGTCGAAATCAATGGTCAGCCTTGCTGAAACTAGTTGATTGATTAACCTAACCTTTTGTCATTTTTAATTAGGGGATAGAAGTGTTTTGTTGTTTTGATTAATTAAGATTGAATCAATCATTAATCTAAATTTCACCACGGGAAAAAAAACTAAAAAACAAAGATTCAACACAACAATTTGGGTTAATGACAAGTAATGTGTATATGTCTTGATAGATGGTCAACAAACACTATGCACATGTTAGCTAATAGCTATCTAGTTTATAAAGGATTTTGTTAGCTAATCATGTTCTAATGATTAATTTGTTAAGATTACTAGTATTTTCAATTTTACCAAATGGTATGATTAATATTATTTAATGATATAATTAGAATTATATATCTTTATTTAGATTTAGATGTATCTAATTTTGAATACATAATTACATAATAAAAAAATGTATATATAATCAATGACAATATATAATTAGTTAGTTGTCATGCATGGAAAATTTATTCACAAGTATATATATCCTTAAACATAAATTAAGCTTTGATTAGCAGAACACATGCATCAACAAATAAATTACGCTTTATGGAACCACTACCTTACTTAAATGTTAGAACATGATAAGGGACGTAGCAGAACAACGATAAGATATAAAGACAGATTCTGTACCAGTGGACTGTAGCAGCTTCCCAGAAAATGCAGAACTGTTCTTGGTCAAGGCTATCATTTTAGTGCTTCCTTGACTCACCGCTTCCGACTCCACCACTGCATTAATGTTAATTATTGCATTCAAAAGTTATCTAATACTTGTTAATAATATAAGTATATAGGAAGTTTAATCATGATAAGAAAACAATTAAGCGCCAATTTCAGATTCCATTCACCAAAACCAAAAAGAAAAGCCACAACTGAAAACTGTATCTGTGAGTAAAATCGTTTGTCATTTCATAAGACCAGAAAAATCAGAGGTACGCATTGCATATAAATGCATTCAAGCATGCATGGTCATCCTGGAGACTAATTATGATTAAAAACACTTTTGTTATGTTATTTATTGATTCATTTGCAATTTAAGGAAGAGGACTTAGACAGATCATACATCGCATATTTATAAATTTTATAGAGTAATATAGATAAATCACGCAAGAATAGTTTAGAATTAATGTCTTCACTTAATTTTTATGCTTGGACAAAAAGAGAGTGGCTGGGGATGAACACAGAAAAGAGAAATGTGTTAGGAATAGTAAATCAAATTCTACAATAGATTTATTTGAGATTGGTTAGATATTACTTCATGGATAGAAAACTTATAAGAGAAGAATTCTAAGAGGAAAAAAAATCTTGATAGACAAATTTGTATGCTTATAAATATATAGAGTCTCCATAGGGTTAGGTATGAGAAAAAGAGATAAAAGAGTTATAAGATTTTATGAGATAGACATCTCATTAGACAACTAGAGATGTACATCTTATGGGTGTATATGTTTGAATATTTATGAGTAGATTAGAGGAGATTGAGAGGGTCCACATAAGTATGGTGTATGGGTGGATATGTGTATGTATTTATTTAGGTTGAGAATATTTCATAGGATTAGAAGAGAATGAGAGGGTCTATAGGTGTTAATAGTGAGTGAGATTGATTTGATGTATGTTTATCATTCTCTATAATTAGTGGATCTTTTTCTCATCCATGGACATAGGTCGATTTGACTGAACCGTGTTAAATTATTGTCTTTTGTGTGTTTACTTGATCATTTGATTATACTTCTGTTGTGTTGGATATTTAATTGATTTGGGGCTTTTTGCTTAATAAGTGGTATTGCAGCTGAAGGTTCAAGACATAGGAAGAAAGTAAGCCTAGAAGAGCTCAATTCAAGAGAAGAATTCAAATTCATATTTTAAAGATTGGTTTGCATAAAGCGTGAAGATAAACAGAGAAAATTGATATGAGACTTCCATTATAGGTTGACCCAAGCATGTCTAATATGAAAACTGATGATTTGATGAAATTTAAGTTAAGGTGAAGATCGTTAAGAATAATAACTCAAATCTCATAACAAATTTATTTGAGATTGGTTAGATATTACTTGATGGACAAGAAGACTTGCAAGAGAAGAATTCTAAGAGAAAAATGATTCTTAATAGATAAATTTGTATGCTTTTAAATAGGTGGAGTCTTCATAGGGTTAGGTATGAGAAAAAGATGTAAGAGTTATAAGATTTTATGAGATAGACACTCCATAAGACTATTAGAGATTTACGTCTTATGAGTGTATATGTTTGAATATTTACGAGTGAACTAGAGGAGACTAAAAGCGTTTATATAAGGTCTAAATAGGTATGGTGCATGGGTATACATGAGTATGTGTTTGTTTTAATTGAGAATATTTCATAGGACTAGAAGAAATTGAAAGGATCTATAGGTATTAATAATAAGTGATGTTGATTTGAAGTATATTTATAATTCCTTAGAATTAATAATTTTTTTTTTTATCTGTAGATGTAGGTCAATTAGATCGAACTATGTTAAATTACTGTTTCTTATGTGTTTACTTGATTATTTGATTATTATTTCACTGTATTTGATATTTAATTAATTTGAAGCTTTTTGCCTAACAAAATGCATGTTACCAAAGAAGAGCAGTAACACCAAAGCCAAAACATAGCCACAGAGGTTATGCCAAGTCTTTTCTCATCAAAGCAAATTCCTAGTGCACTTGATGTCATTATCACCCTTCACTTATATGCGTTTGGTCAAACTGGGTAGCTAAAAGAATGGAACTGAAGGATCGATGGTTCAACCTTCAATTAATAAGGAGTACTACATATAGTTTTCGATGGAATATGAGCACAAACTTGTAGTTGTTAAGAAAATATGTAGTACTAGTTGTAGCTGAACTATTGGATAGAAAATGAAGCGAGGTTTAATATAACTAGGTGACTATGAATGGCGATATTGTACTTTGGGGGATAGAACATGTAATAAAGGAAAGCGAAGCAAATCTTGTTGGGTGGACGAGGAATACCAGACGCCCAGATGAGGGAGCTGCACAAGTCTGTATTTATAACACACCAGAAGAGGGGAAAATCTAAATCCACCCTCGTTTTTTCTTTATACACATCACTTTTTTTTAAAAAAATTTTAATAAATAAAATTACTTAAATACATTTATCACAAGTTTATAACTTTTGAAAATCCATTTCCAAAAAATTATAATACTTATCGGAAATGTATTTTCAAGAGCATTGGAGTGCAATTTTATAAAAAAGAGAATTTTGTTTAAATTATTTATAAAGGAGTGTACTAAAAAAGTTATTATTAAAAAATATAAATTTTAAAATTAATAAAAATGTTACTTTTACTATTTTCATCTTAGAAAAAAATAATATTTTATGAGGCTCGAATTAAATTAAAAATAAAATAGTAAATATAATTTTTTTATAAATTTAAACATTTTTTAATAAATATTATTTGTATCAATTATTAAAATTTTATAATAATTTTAATTAAATTAAATTTTTTTAGAGAAATTTCTTTACCTGCTTATTACGGTAGATTTTTTCAATTAGCATATTAAATTTTAAAAAAATTATGTAATATATTCAATAGTATTATTTATACAGTTTTAAAGAATTTCAATTTTTATATGTTGATCAAACTTGATAGTTCTTTCATCACTTTTCATAATATCAAGAAATAAAATATTAATTTAGATCTCATTATATTTTATTATTTTTTAAAAATTAAAATAATAAAAGTAACTTTTTTTAATTAATTTTAAAATTTATGATTTTTTTCTAATAATAACTTTTTTATTATACTAATTTATAAATAATTTTCACAAAATTTCTTTTTTCATAATTGTTTTTTATAAAATTTCATTTTTCTACTCTTAAAAATTTATTTTTGAGAAATGTTATTACTTCTCGAAATGGTGGATATTTAAAATTTATAAAATAATATTTAAGTAATTTTACTTAAAAAATTAAAATAAAAAAGTAAGATGCAGAGAAAAATAGGTCGAGTGCATTTAGTTGCTCCCCCAGACTAAGGAATTCACAATTATCAGATTGCCCTCATTTTGTAACGTACTACCTCGCTAGTACGTGTGGGAACTGTTTTATTTATTTATGTTGGGCTTCTATATATTTCGCAGAAATTGATTTTTAGAAAATATTTTTAAAAAATATTTATATTGTCTAAGAAAGATTTTTTTATTATTTGGATGTATCAATAAAAATATTTTTTGTTATTTGGTTGTATTCTGAAAAATCAA